CCACGTGTCAAGCAATGATCCGTCCACTATGGACCAATTACGACACGACACGTGTCCCTCCCATGACACCTGGGATAACCGGTCACCTAGGCCCAACTTCCGAGGGAAGCCCAATCAGCCCAAGGTTAACCTAAACCTAGATTGGCACGTTTCCCGAGGTTATAAATACCTCCCTTAATCCTCATTAAGGGAGATTACGCAGATTACACACATTAAACACTCTCACCTAGAGAGACCCAATCACTTTAATTTCCGCATTAATTACTCCTTAATCAAGCACTAACTTGACCGTTGGAGGCGGATCTCCAATCATCTGGAGCATCCGTTTGTTTTGCAGGTACAGGCGTCCGGTTCCAGTCTCGGAATTGTAACTCTCCCGCAGGACATCAGAAAACCCCGAAACAGTAACTAATGGCAGAAAATTGCAAATTAAAGAAGGAATAATAAAAGCTAAATGTGAAATATTATAATTGGTGTGATGAAATGACACACACTAACACACTAAACAAACTACTCGTAAGATAGATTATCAAGCTTTCGAGAGGCTTGATTCTCTTCCAATCGGTAACTTTAGGTTACCACTCTCCAAGTGACTTGAGGTCACAACTCTCAACAAGTTTCATCCAATTTTTGCCTACCCATTTCCTTTCCTTCCCTCTCTATTTATACTAAGGACTATTAACCTAGTGAGCTAATATTAGTAGAATACCTATACTACCCTTCCTTAGGTTGATCTATTACAATACCGGCCCCCTAAACTTCCACCTTGTCCTCAAGGTGGATAGTAGTCTGCACTGAATGTCTGAATTTCCGGCCTCGGCAACATTGATGCTTGTTCCAACTCTTGAAAGAGCCAAAACTGAGCTGCTGTGAGAGTTGTTCATTGTTGAAGGTTAGTACTCTTAACATGGCATAAGAAACTGAAAATTGATGTAGCTTGTCAAGTGGGATAATTGAATTTTGGGTTGAGTGAGTGGTGTCTGCATTGTAGCAAGAAGTGTGGAAATAAGTCAAATAACAACTGCTGGGCAATGTTAATTTTAGGAAATAAAAGGCAAGGGGCTTTAAACAAGGGAGGTTGGATGTAAATAAGGATTGCTGGGCATCAGGCTATGAATTCGGAAATTGGGCCATGTTGCAATGGGCCCAAATAAAATCTTGCCTTCTAAAAATGATAGATTCATTTCCAATGCACAGTAAGCAATCTGAGCATGATGTTCATCCTTTGCCACATCATCAAATCTCATATTTACAATTCCACCCTTACTAGTACCTTCCACTATTGGCTTCCTCTCCAAGCCAAAGACTTTAGTCAAACTCCTGCCAAAAGCTGCTATGTCTGCATTTCCCAGGCAACCACCATGTAAACAGTCTAACCACTCCTCTTGAGACCTCCCACCTGCTCCACATCCGGCCAAACCCCCACCTTTTTCTCCACCTGACTCACACGCACCTGACTCACACGCACCAGCCCCTCCTTCCACAACGCCGTCTATGTCCCTCTTTAGGCCACCGCTAATGGTGGTCATACAGCCACGTTTTCCTTTTCCGGCTAGGAAACCTGGGCCACCACCAGATCCACTACCGTCAGCTCCGCCTTTCTCAGACAAATATTTTATCCCACCACCGTCAAACACATCGACCACTGCCCTTTGTACGGTCCAGAAAACCGCCCACCTTTCACGAGCTCTGCCGTCCACTCCACCGTGACCCCCACCAGCAAATCCACGTGAGAAATCACCCCCCTTTCTTGCGACCATCGGTAGTGAAGAGTCAATTTCAGACCTGCCTTTGTCATCTTCGCTTCTCTCAAACAAAACTTTGGTGGGTTTGCTTTTGAAATCACCAGATTCACAATCCCATGCACATCTTCTACCACGACCTTCACTCCCCAACGGACCACCGCCAACAGCAGCAAGTTCTTGTTCTTTCTCCCGAAGCAAATCAGTCGGAAGTTTCTCCCTGAGGTTCACTTCCACCGGATGTGCCACCATCCCATCTCCTTCCACCACTGCTGCCGCCATCTTGCCTCCTTCCTGCTCAATTGATGTCGCCAATTCGCCCTTTATATCGGCGAGTGGATTTTTCACCTCCTTGAGCTCTTCACGGAGCATAGCGAGCTCTCGCCGGATCGGAGCTATAACTGCTTTCTTTAATTCCCTCGTGATGTCCTCACACAATTTTTGTGTGATTTCATCCATCTTTGCTTTGAAATCTGCCCCTGAAAACAGATTAACGTCTTCTCCGTTCACCGATCGACATGCGGCAGCACCTCTGTCGCCGAGGGTCGTACTGCTCTGATACCATTTGTCATGTACCGACATGGCTAGGTATTAAACAGTAACTAATGGCAGAAAATTGCAAATTAAAGAAGGAATAATAAAAGCTAAATGTTAAATATTATAATTGATGAGATGAAATGACACACACTAACACACTAAACAAACTACTCGTAAGATAGATTATCAAGCTTTCGAGAGGCTTGATTCTCTCCCAATTGGTAACTTTAGGTTACCACTCTCCAAGTGACTTGAGGTCACAACTCTCAACAAGTTTCATCCAATTTTTGCCTACCCATTTCCTTTCCTTCCCTCTCTATTTATACTAAGGACTATTAACCTAGTGAGCTAATATTAGTAGAACACCTATACTACCCTTCCTTAGGTTGATCTATTACAATACAATAGCAGTTTGCAAAGTATGTGGTCTAAAAGGAGGCTTTACAAACACTGTGATCAACACTTTGACCAGCATTTAATTTTAGGCAACTTAATTGATTTCTGAAAAATTGCGTGATTGTTGATCCTAGGGTACTTTTTATATTTAATTTTAGACAAGGAAAAAATAAATTACTACCTCCGTTTCATATTATTTGCTACAATTAGACATTTTTACTCTCTACTTTATGTCAAATTGTTGCAAACAATATGAAACGGAGGTAGTAAAAAGAAATGTTAGATGATAAGAGAATACTAGATATTGTAGTCATAGTCGGAGAATCAAATAAGAATAATATTATAATAGAAAGGATGAAAGAAAAAAAAAACTATATATAAAAAAAAAAGGATTTAATTAAAGTTACAAATATAGAATAGTAGGCAATAGGGAAGGTGACTCAAGTCATTGTTGGTGGTGGTTATAATATATAGTTGTTAGAGGGTCCATATCATGTATAGGAGTGAACCTAATAGAAAGGTAAACATAGCTGTTACATTAGTATCAAGTCTATAGATATTAGTATCAAGAGAACTTAAAGAGAGCATAAACATAGGTCATTAGTACCAAGTCTCTAGACATTTAAGCATAACGTGAAAGCATCCCCCGGGGCCACCCAACATCCAACAGAAACTTTAAATAATTTCCAAGAGGGAACTAAAGCAATGACAAATTGAAAAAAATATGAGAACTACCTAACTAAACCAGCAAATCACCTATATTCTATAAAATCCAATGCGATGGACCGGGTATATGACCCGAGTCAACCCAGGTAGGTTTACTCAAGGCGCAAAAGAGGAAATAAGCAGTAGGCAGCCTAGGGACTCATTACTTTGCAAAATGACAAAGTTAATAAAAAGAAAGAGAAGGAAAGCAAGCAACCAAGTTCTTATATGTTTAAGTATGGTTTTTCCATTTTAGTTAAGTATCACATGTAATTGTCTTAAGGTCTTCGTTGACCATTAGCAAGCCTTAGTATAAGAATGTAGTAGTAGCAAGAAGGAAGGATCATCCAGAAAATTGAGTAAACATTTGAGAGACTTGTAGCCTCAAGTTACTATTAGAGTTATACCCTAAATCTATATTTATCCCCCATTAGCTTGTAACCCGATTAATCAATCAATCAACCTTCAAGCTTTCCTTCTTAATTATCTCAAATTAGCTAAACTATTGTTGAGCAGAATTTGATACATAACAACTGGTATCAGAACGGTCGGTCATGGAGACAAGCATGCCGCAACGACTGGACGCCATGGAGGAATCCCTCGCCGGCCTGAAAAACCAATTGACAGCCATTGAGGGAAAGCTGCAACCACCAGAGGAGGATGCTCTTACACGAGTGGTGGTAGTGGCGGTGAAGGCAGCCATGGCTGATGAACGGAAGAAGACAGAGGAAATGATGGCGGCCACCATTGTTCGACTGGAAGGTCGCATACACCGTTTCCGAACCAATGTCGACACGCAAGAAGCAATAGATCGAGGCAAAATCACTAAACTGCCAGAAGAATTGAGAAGGCGAAGCTAGCTCAACCTCAATTAAACACACAGGCCATTCCGTTGGTAGGAGAGAACAGCCCACGACCGGAGATGGAACAAATTCCAACGCCGGTTGGGGAGAGGCCGTACGAGGAATAGGAATGGCAACCACCTGACCAAGGTGGGTGGCGCGGAGGTGGCTGGAGAAGTGGCGGCGGCGGCGGAGGTGGCGGAGCTGGCAGAGGCCACTGGAAACATAGCTTTGCTGGTATTGTAATGAAGTACAAAACCATTTACGTTTTAGAACCAAACCTGAGCGGTCAATTATTTTGGCAAAGTCGGTCCATAGAGGCAAAATTGTTGGCCGGAAGGCACTAGTTATAGCACATAAATTGCCATCATATGAAGAAGATTGATAGAATATAACTAATTCACACAATTTAAAGCAATCTCATAGGGATCAAAAACCTCTATTAAACTGTCCTTAACCAGGAAGCCCTAAAAATAATCCTTTCGATCCTAAATGTTTTTCCCCCTTTTTTTTGGCACGTTTACAAAGCACATTTTTTTATCGTTAATATCTTTAATTACATGTTAGAAAAAAACATATATAAATATTAATATTAAAGTACTCATTGAGACAAATCAAACAAAACCCCACATGCCTATGATTTTTCATTTATATTTGAATAATTATAAAAGTTTTCTTTAATAGTTAATATTGGCCATATTGGGATGAACAAAAAGTATTGGAGGTAACAGTATGTCTTTCTTTTTGCAGCCAACAAAAAAAACAGAATGGTACATACCTTGCAGGAAGCAGATCATAGCTACCATAATGGTGCAAAAGACACTTCATGTTTAGTGGATGAAGGATAATAGGCTGACCATCAACGGCCTGAAACATATAAAAAAGTACATTTACCCCATTAAGATTGAATAGGTATCTGGGAAGAATTAGAACCAGATTTAAGCTTCAGAACTATTGAAGCAACTGTCCAAATGTGACATCAATTGCAACCCTCATACAGAAGTATTAAATCTATATTACAATTCGCCATGTTAATTCAGCTCTAAAAGATAATTGATGTACATGAACACTCATTAACATGAACAATGCCTTTGACCAAGCAAAGTCAATAACAGTTGACGCTTGACACAGCCATGGGCTAATAGTAGTATGAATATCATATATCGACACTAGCAAGAGCATAAGACAATGATCACATACCTGGTAGAAATTGTATGATTCCTTCTCCTTGGTGTCTCCCGGGGAACCTACTGGAGTTAGCAAGGTCTTGCTTTCTTCATATGAAGAGGACACGGACACATCAAGTCCTTCAAGTGATTCATCATTTTCAGAGGACTGAACTAAACAAGCACTTTCATGGACAACATCTGCCATTACATTGTTTGGCCCCTTGTTATCAAGAATTGATGGAGACGAAGTTCCATGTCCAAGCTCATCATCTTTGCAGTTAGGATAAGTACTGCTAACAGGTTCACAATCAATAGTTTCAGAGGATTTGCTGCCTCCGAAATTTCGACGAGCAGTCCAGTATTTTTTTCTTTGTTTCAAGTGTTCCATAGCAGCACAAACATATGGAAGCTTCTCTATGTCATCAACAAGCCCTGATTCAGCTCGTGCTAGCCAATTATCCAATGCTGATATTGCTTCTCTAACAGAGAGATCCACATCCAAAGTAAGTATGAACTTTGAAAAGGAGTCACAAGACTTGCTACTCGTTCCTTCCTTGACCTTTTCATGAAGAGAAAATGAGTCTTTCTTCCGAGTTAAAAGCATAAATTCTAGCACATCACCAACATTGTGGCCCGTAACATTTTCCGCAAAGATAGTATACAAATCCCTTGAGGATATCATCATAAAACAAAGTGGGCATTTTCTCCAGCATTCTGCTTTATGATTTTCCTCACCCATAAGTAAGTATTGCAAGATACATGGAAAACAGAATATATGTCCACAAGACGTGATCTGTGGGCAGAGAGGAGTATCCAAACAAATTGGACATTGAATAGGGTGCGGAGTTGAGTATCTCAAACATATTATATCCTCCCACTGTAATGTTTTGTCAGGATCCATAGATTCAATAGTATAGCTTCCAGAATCCAAGACAACAAATTTGTAGTTAGCCTGGAGGAAAAGGTCCTTGTTGTAAGGCTTAATCTTCTGAGGCTTTTTCAGTGGAGGACCCCTAGGTTGAGCACGAGAGATTGGATTATATTGAAAATTTAGTAAGTGATTACCGCTTACTGTTTGATACCTTCTCCGCGCAGAACCACTTGCTCTACCATTTGGCGGAGAGCCAGAAACTTCCCCACTGGATGGAGGAGACCCAACACCTCCTTGAGCAACAGAGTGAGATTGAACTCTACTGTTGATACTGTGATTAGATGTCTTCTTACCACTTGAACTCCCATGTCCAATCACCTAAAAAGATAAGGGGTGTATATAATCAAAATGTGCAAAAGATAAATAAATAAAACGACATCCATATACACGCACATAAACTCATACTGGCAAAGAACTTGCTCAACATTTGAGAGAGAATTTTGTTCTACCACCTCCAACCTACTTAAAAGCACATGCATACTCTTTCATATCATACAATTTCCAAAAATAAAATAGAGTATATAGCTACTTACAATAAACACCACCCTCCACCCCCACAACATGCAAAAATGTTTTACAGAAAAGATACAGAGAACGTTACATGAAAATAAATCAGTTCTTAACATCCTTAATCTATGAGTTCTCCCTTCACTCCATAATGATTATCCCTCATCTATTCTAGTATACCCTATTTGCTTATCCCACACAGTTGATAAATGAAAGTGAACAAATGCTTTCTGTAATCCACTATGGTAATACACTGCCACTGCGAGCAATATCTATTCAACGGAATTCCGGCTTCCATTAATTAATTCAAAATAGACCTCAGAAAACAATTCCAAATGACACAAAACTAGGAAAAAAACATCTTTGAAATGTACCTTTTTGGAAGATCCGTTAGAAGTTCCTGCAGTTTCAGCCATTGAACCTAAAACCACAACCACCAAAATAAATTGCAATAAGAAGCAAATTCAAAAGTAATACAAACAACCTAATTAGCTCAATTGATCCGAATTCGAAAGTAAGAACCCTAAAATCACCTGAAATTGAATTGGGGAAGGAAGCTTCAGATTGAGGGTCGGAGATCCGAAGCGAATCGAGAGGTGGAGTTTGCGGGGAAGAGATAGAGCTCTGTTGGTGTTGAGATTGAGGTTCATCAATGGAGATTGGGAAGCCATGATTGAAATTAGGGTTTTGAGCAGAGGAAGACGAAGACGATGATGCTGAACCTTGATGGGTGTGAGAGGGCAAGATGGACATGAAATTATGGAGAGAGAATTTGGGGGAATTTTATTTTGAGTTTGAAGAAACTCTGTTCGAAAAAGTTTTAATTTCTGAGAATTTTTACGAATCTAGTAGAATGGTTTTATAATATTCGTGGTGTAGGTGTTGGATTTTTGGAGCATCTTACGCATCCCTCAACGAATCTATGCTTTGCGAAAATGAAAGTTTTAGATGATAATCTTTTATGACTTGTTAGTTGTTAACTTTACCTTGGACTAGTATGTACACAGTAACTAATCTACCAAAAAAAAAAATTAGTGGATTCAATGATATAGCCGTATAGGCAAGGTTATCACAATCACGATCCAAATTGTACGTCTGAATTGGCCAAATTGCTTGAATTAGGGTATAGGCAAGGTTATCAAAATCTCGATCTAAATTGTATGTTTGGAGTGGCTAAGTAGCTTGAATTGGTCTCAAAATTGAACACAAGCAGCATCGTTGGAATCGTTCATCATCGGTTGGATCATTGCAATCCTAACAATCCTTTTTAATGTCTCTGCATTGTGCATTACGAATTTCTTAACTTTTTAATCCTAAAATGCATATAAAGGACTAAAAGAGATGTTAAAACTAGACTTGATCATGGGTGGTCTAGCTCGGCCCATTTTAGTCCACGTCTTAGGGTCGAGCCCAGGTCTAGACCAAAAAAGTTGTGTACAAATCCGTTATAAATCTGCTATTTTGGACCGATAATAGTGGCGCCCAAAATTTCTACCCAAAGCTAAGAATTCTGCGCTCTTTTTTTTTTTTTAGGAAAGAATTCTACGCTCCTAGTTGATCATGATCTACTCTACTTTAAACTCTTAATATAGTTTTGTATGAAGTATTTTGAGTTTTAAGCTTGCCAACGAATAAATTCCTCAATGATCGTTAGTACTTTAAATCATAACTAAAATTTACTCATAATATCTAAAATATGCATTGCGATAGATGTATATAACAAAAATCTACATGATAATATTTATTTTCTCAAATAAAATTACCAAAAAATAATGCACATATTGTGGATAGTGGAAAAATTCAAAATCAATTTATTGAAAGTGTTTCTAACCTGTTTAGGTGAATAATAGAAAAGTCAAGAATAGATTATATTTAAACCTCTTTGTTGATTTTTATTTGCACAACTTGGCTATTTATTGTCATAAAAAAAAGTATGTTAAAATAATAAAATAGAAACATTATACAAAAATAGAGCTTCAATTACTAAAAAAAACAATGATGCTAACATTTAGTTTATGTTGGAAATAATGCAAAGGAAAGTTTCTTAGTTTTGGAGGAAAACTCTTTGTCCCACATTGGTGGGATAAGGAAGGTTTTATAACTTGGTTTAAATATGTGTGTTTATACTTTGGTATTTGAAGTACTTTCCCTATTGTTGTGGGCTAGAAGGGGGTATCCCCACGCGCGTCGCCGCCGCCGTCCGACCGGTTCGTGTTTGTGGCACGTGCGCGGTGTGGTGGGGCTTCCTTTTTGGGCCAAGTCGTAACTGACATTCCAGTTTTTATGAGAAGGTTTAGTTACGAAAGCTCGCAACAACGTTTGACTCGGTTTTATAAACGTTTGTAACTGCCCCTGATTTTCCTCCCACGAATTATTTTGTGGCTTTATTTTCTCCATCAGTTATGCCTTCCTTCTTCTATAAAAAACTTATTTTCGCGGCTTTCAAAACACACAAACAATTTCCTTCCTTTCTCTATTTTACTTCCAGTTTTCCTCTAAAATAATTCTGAGCATTTTGTGAGTTCCTAGTCTCTCTTTTTGAGTGCACATTAAGAGAGATCGTTGTGTTAATTCTTGGGGGGGCAACGCCATTTTCGATTGCACCATAGTCGGGGCGAATTTTGCTTCTAAGACAGTGTTATTAACACGTCACAGTGTTTTACCTACATTAATCAAATTCGGCCTACATTTCAAACTATATTTTCTGATTTTACAGTATTTTATTTCCCACAGTTTATTACACAAATTGATCAGGAGATGGTAAAGTAAGAGACTTAAAACAAGTAATGCCACCATCCACAACAAGATTATGGCCAGTAACATACTTAGCATCATCAGAACCCAAATACAATGCTGCTTTTGCAATATCAATTTCTTCACATTGAGTCCCACTAAATTCCTCTAATCCACCAATTATTTCCTTTATTTGTTCATTTGTTGCCTTTGGATATATTTTCTTAAAATTTTCCATTACCAAAGGAGTTGCAACTGCACTTGGGGATATGCAATTAATCCTTACCCCATATTTGCATAGTTCACTAGCCAATGACCTTACTAACCCAGGTATTGTAAATTTTGATATGGAATACGGGTGTGGCCCAATTCCGCCTAAGATCCCAGATATGCTCGCGGTGCAAAGGATTGAACCCGAACCAACTGGCTTCATGACCCGAGTAGCATGCTTGACCCCTGCTAGCGTGCCTCGGACATTGACCCGCATGACTTGGTCAAATTGATCTAAGTCGAGGTTTGTTATGCTAGGTGGGTAGTATGGGCCTACTATGCCTGCATTGTTGTACATGATGTCGAGTTTTCCATGGTGGGCCATCACGGTGTCTACTGCTTGGGCTACTTGGGCCTCAACAGTAACATCGCATTGGACAAATTGAGCTTTTGAGCCTAAATCAAAGGCTGCTTTTAGGCCTAGTTTATCATTTATATCAGCAATGAAGACATGTGCTCCTTGTTTGATGAACTCTTGGGCAGTTGTCTTACCAATTCCACTTGCACCACCAGTAATTAGAGCAATCTTACCTTCAAGCCTATTTTTTGAAATAGGGCAAAAAAAATATTATATTTCCTCTGTATCTTTTTAGCTGCTACATTTTCCTATTTTGAAAATTTTAATTAACTACAATACTTTCCATTTTTGACATTCTTTTCTCTCTATCTCTCTCCTATCCACATGGGTCCGTCTTATTTTTCTCTCTGTCTCTTTCCTCCTAAAAAACTGTCTAAAGATCATGAAAATAAAAGTGTAGCAACTAAAAAATAAAAAATTGATATGGTAGAAAGAAAAAAATGAGATTCTTATTACTTAAGAGTTAACACAATCATTATATGGTACAGGGTGGCCGAAGACACACACCCATGAGGCCATGAGTGCAAATTGAAAGAATGTTGACGTATGTACACTTGTACAGGCCCAAAATTGCTTGGAGCTTAAACCCAAGATTCCTTATATAGAAATTATAATGATGCAAATAGGTGTGTTGTGGTTCAGTAGTGAATCAGGAACACCCCATATGATTGTATATTCAATATGTATATAGATCATAACATACGGTCAATGGAGATTTCATGATAATACTGAAGTCAAAATGTGAAAATTAAAAAAAATCGTGGAAATAATATTTTTAAATAATTAAATACTTCTTCCGTCTCACATTTTATTTCTTGTTTTTCTATTTTGGAGACCCAATAATATTAATTACCCTTGAATTTTTCATTTGCCTTAAATTAAAAAAACAAAGTGAAAAGTACAACTATAGACACAAGTTAGAGAAAATACTTTCTCTCTCTAACTTTTGTCTATAATTGTACTTTCACTTTTTTTAACATAGTATAAAATGAGATGGAGAGAGAGTACATACTGGGTATTTGAATAGGAAATGATACAAGGTCACCCTTAGGGCCTGTTCTCTTTCGTTGAAATTCAGTTTAGTTCAGTTCAGTTCAGTTCATCTCTTAATTTATGTCTAATGATATTGCTAATGATATAAAGTCAAATTTAATTCTTTTAAGCTCTTATTACAACGATGACGACGACGACGACGACAACAACAACAACAACAACAACAATAATAATAATAACAATAACAATAACAATAATAATAATAATAATCAATAAATAATAATAATAATAATAATAATAATAATAATAACAATAGTAATTGAAATAATAATACTAATAATAATAATCAATAAATAATAATAATCATCATCAATAAATAATAATAATAATAATAATAATAATCAATAAATAATAATAATAATAATAATCAATATGTGTTTAAAATGTTTAGAGGTTTCAAGTTTTTAATATATTTTCCATAAATTTTATAATTATATAGTATATTTTTCGTAAATATTTTAATATGTACATTTGTATATACACATATGTATAGTAATAAATAATCAATAAATAATCAAATATCACTAATCCGTAGTTAAAAATCACTAATTAATAAGTTCAGTTCAGTTCAGTTCAGCTCAGCTCAGCTCAGTTCAGTTCAATTCAGTTGAGTTCAGTCAATCGGAACAGGCCCTTAGACCTTGTTTAGTTCACCTTATTTTTAATTATTTCAGAAAAAATATGTTCAGATCAGATTATTGTTTTATGTACAGTTTTTTATCGCTAAATATCATTAATTTCGTAATGAAAATCACATATTAATAACATACACATTATTACGAATCTAACAAGACCCTACTTGTTATATTTTTCCGATAGATTATCGTACATTTAAGGTCAAAGTTTGGTCAAGTGATCAGATCAAATCAGATCAAACCAAATCAAGCCAGATCAGATAAGAAAAAATAAGGTGAACCAAACAAGCCCTTATTTAGACAATAACAAGTCTTTGATATTTTTATACCTCGTATAGGTACAATATTGTAGAAGTAGCTTAGGAGGCTTAAACACCAATGGGCAAGATCAATTATTGATAAAGACTTTTCAACGTTCTATTTCCCTTACCATTGTCATCCAAACCTACTATGATTATTATTAATACTACGTACATACATAGTACTTGTAAATTGTAATTCTATATGGCCAAGGCTAACGGCTGACCAAACAAAGTTAGCAGCCAACTCTCAAATAATGATAACAAAATTAGTGTTACCAACAAACAACTAATCATTTTGTAAAATAGAATAAATAAAAGCCAACAACAAATTAAATAAAGTAAGACTCACACGTCACACCTAATTTCCAAAAAGCCTAATAAGAGTACTCAACCTCAATTAAAGTTTCAACTCTAACATGAATTTCAATTGCTCCAATATTTTAAAGCCTAAGGAACAAGCACTTTATTAATCATCAGGTATCAAAGTTAATCTTACTCACATGACTACATGAGTTTGTATCTTCTTACCTTGGACTTGATTTGCTTGAAAATAATAATGTAGTTATTTTCAAGAAAAAAGACGTTTATTTATTTGCAGGATTTGAATGTGTGGGGCATGTATAGTTGATCAAATTCTGTATATGTCATTGCCTTTGTGTCTCTCTACACATTAACGAAAACATAAACGCGTAAAACTAAATACAATGGCATACCTTCCAGGAGAAGAAGTGGAGGAAGAAAATCTTGCTTGGTGATAGAACACCCACTTCATTTCTCTGATAAAAAGGGAAAAACAAATGAAAAACAAAGAAATTTGCCAATAATTCACAGTGAATATATGCATGTAACTATGTATGCACATGTGACAAATTTTGTCAAAAATAAATGGATACTTACATACCTTTGCAACAATCGTAGCATTTTGTTGAAATTGGTTAGAAAAAAGTTTATTATAGATGAGGGAGAATAAGAGAGAACAAGCTAAGAGAGTTGGAAAAAAGAAGGGAAAGTGAACACCAACTTTCAAACATACTCAAGACAAATCGTGTTTATTTTATAAAGGAAGGAGTAGGGCCCTACTACACCACTATTGTACTAGTAGGAGTAGGGCTATTCATCGGTCCAAGATCGGATCGGATCGGACCGACCCGGATTGGACCAAATATCGAAAATTAGAATTTTAAGAACCGAAAACCGGACCGATTAAGTTAAGACCAAACTCAGACCAGACCAAAAGAATCGGTCCAAAACCCGGACCAGACCGCTTTAGACTGATTTAAGAATTTTTTAAAAAGAATACTAAATTTTTTATAAAGTTTAGAAAAACACAAAAAAAGTATTGGAAAAACTATATTGTAACGTCATTTTTACGTCTTTTTTTGTATGTTTAGTGCAAAAAAGCTTATAAATTTAAAGTTTTCTAAGTTTATTAAGGATAATTTTAACCATTATTTAAGGTTTCACACATATTTTTAATAAAAAAATCGGTCCGGTCCAAAACCGGTTTTTATAGGGTTTTGGACCGGACCGAAGACCGGAAAAATGAATTTCAAGACCCGAAGACCGAACCGATTAATTCGGTCCGGTACGGTCCGAGGTGGCCCGGTCCATTTTTCGGTCCAGACCGATTTATGAACACCCCTAAGTAGGAGTATAAAGTTTAAGATTTTAAACATACTCAAGAGAAATCGTGTTTAAGAATTTATACTCGAGGGCATGGCCGCATGGGCATTAAATTGTGAGAGGAACTAATTGACTGTCAGTGCAGTGGTGATTGAGGATATTTTTGGTAGGGAGAATCGTGTGTTTAATCTCTCGCAACAATAATTAGGAGGGGACTTGAACTTAACGAACCACTCATAAATAAGCCTTGAATCCGAATTAGCCCAAATAGGGAACCAGGTTAAACACCCCAAAAAAATACGGGTTTTTCACCATATACCCCTGAGTTTTTTGTTTATACACTACATACCCATGAGTTTTTTATTTAGTCACCATATACCCGTGAACTTTTTAAAATTCATCATATGCCCTCGAATTTTCACAAAATTACATCATATCCCTTGATGACTACTGATTGTTAATTTTGTCAATCATAAGGGTTAATTATAACCCAAAACCACCCTAAGTACAATCCTTTATCTCCGAAATCACCCACATTTCTTTTTCCCACCCCCAAAAACACCCTAAATTTTTTTTTCTCATCCTCAAAATGGATCACACAGATATGATTATGGAGATTTGCAGTGATTTCAGGGGTTAGATAAAGGAGATTAGTGGTTTCGGGGATGGAGGGAGAGATATGAGGTGGTTTCTGTTTTGGGTGTTTTTGTCCCTCGGGAGAGTTACGTCACAAAGACTGGTCCGGCTGAGTTGTACCTGCAAAACAACGGAGACTCCGGGTGGTTGGAGCTCCGCCTCCGAAGATCAAGTTAGTAACTTGAACGGGAATAAAGAGTACGGAAATTTAGGTGGGGATCTGCTTAGATTCCAAACTTAGGTGTTTCTCTGATGAGAGAGAATGTAGGTGTAATAAATGAGATGTGTCCCAAAAGTGGGGAAATATCTCCCTATTTATAGGGTCATTGGAGAATGTGTTCCTATCTAGGTCACTTGACCTAGATTTTAGTGGGCTACGCCGTTTTACGGCGCTTTTTGGGATTTGGGCCCTTGAAGGCCGCCATTTCAGAGATGTATCTAAGGGGGCCATGTGTCAAGAGGATATTAAGCCACGTGGGCCATTCTGAACTCAACACGTGGCCTCCTCTCATTGGTCCACATGTCTAGGGTACACGTGCGTATCACGTGGGGCCTGTGACACGTGTCCACCTATCAGAGGTGAACAGTAACGGATAGTAAATTTAAATTTCAAACAAAAAATTTCCCCCCGTTTTCACCTTCTATAAATAGAAGTTTACCCCCCTTTTTCTTTCACCTTACGTTCATTTGACTTTTTAGAGAGAGAAAGAGAGAGCTTTTAGAGAGAGATTTTCTGCCTTCGTCTGCGTCAGAGCATTTTCGAGTTTCCGTGTGCTAGCAGTTCAACACCCGGTTTACCGGCTGTAGCGGTTTTCAGATTTTTCAGAGTTAAAGTAAGGTAACCGCCTGTACCATTTTAGCTTTTCTCTTTTTCAACTTGTATACATTTCTTTCCCGCCTGTATACATAGTTTTAGAAAATATAAACGAGTTCTCAATCCACACACTCGGCATTGCCTAGGACACTCAGCCGATCCCCTGGGACGGTTGAGTCTAGAACAGGGGGTGCCTTTTCTGGACTGTCAGAACCGATGTGCTCATCCCCGAATTCCTCCCTCTCTGCGTCTGTGCAGGACACAATGGCCAGAACGAAACAGACGGCCAGAAGGTCTAGGAGCCGGCGCACTATATCAGTGTCAGTCAATTAGGTTGTCCTAGACGGGGAACAGAGGGATTTGGATGAGAGCAGGTTTGATGAAGAGGCTCCCTCTACTTCCGGGAGCTCGGGGGTACGAGAGGTAGGCGACGAGGGAGCCGCCTCCTCTAATAAAGCCGGCGATGCTGAGGCCGGCGAAGGGTCAAGGGCCGAATCTTCCGGCTCTGACCAAGATAATTTTGCGGCTGACTATCAGTAGCCGCCTAAGGTCGCCGACAACCCCAACCCCAAACGGACTAGGATGCTGCCGGGTAACATTGCCCTACTTAAGAGCGGCTTTAGGGCTTTTAAAGAAAAGCACCCCTTTGGAAGGGGCTGGGACATCATCGTTCCGCCGGCTGACGCTGTAATGGCCTGGAACGATGATATTGATAATGCATACCATTACTTTGTCTGCTATGAGGCGGTCATCGAAGCCGGCCTCCGGTTCCCCCTCCACCCCGGGATTAGGACAAAGTGTCCAAATGGTCCGAGTGGAAGGACAAGTTTTACTTGATTTCTTCCCCAACTCTAAGGCATAACCGGACACTGCGCCGGTACAACACAGAGCCGGCTCTTCTAGGCAGGAAGTGCCCTCTCCTGGAGCTTTCTACTAAGGTCCGGGAGCAAATAATAGATCCGAGATTTTTTGAAACAACAACCGAGCCCATGGGGGATGGGACTCACATTATAGTTCCCAAGAATTGGATCCCCAATCCGGACTTCTTCAAAGACGAGTGCTTCTTTTCCGCCTGCGGGTTGAGTACCATGTTTCCCAAGGGTAGATTACCTTACACCCGGAGTGTGTGTTATTTTTATTGCAAACTTGCCACAATTTCTTCTAACCTTGAATTCTGTTCATGCAGCCGACGCCTTGAAGATGGTCGATCCGGCAAAGACACCGGCTAAGTCGGCGGCGCTGCTGTGCAAAGAGGCTGCACTTGCCAAGAAAGCAGTCGTCGATGCAAAAGAGTCTAAGAAAGGCGGGGTAAGACCGCCCGAATTTATATGTATTCATACTTTTTTTTAAGGCAATTTGCCGGTTGGGATACTTACCCTTGTTCATTTCTCAGGACTCTGCAAAGCGAATACCACGATCCTTCTCCAAGCTTCTCAAAAGGCAAGGAGAAGATCTGGAGAAAGCTCCGGCTGCGAAGGCCGCCAGAAAGGACCCCCCTCCCCAGACACATTCTGCTGCCAAATTCGATCGTCCAACGACCGAAGGCAAATCTCCTGCTGCATGAAGATTTCGAGCGAAAGCTCAGAACGCTCACAGCAGAAAGCGCCGGTGCCTCTACGGCATCGAAGGGTGGCGAGCCACCTAATGTTGCAGCCGGTGCGGCAACAACTGGGGAGGAGCAGAAGCCTGCGCCCCATCCGGATACCCAAGGTAAGGGAGGAATTGAGATACCTTGGCCACTTGACTTTATGAGAGTCAAGACTAAGGTAGACCCCTCTGGGGGTTCAATCAGCAGCCGGCAACGGATGAGTTCCAACTATGCTGCCTCTTACTCACAAAGTACTACTTTTGGTGCAGATCTGACATCCGACGAGCCGGATCTTGTGGGTTTCGCAAAACGGATGGTGAGGACCCTCACCCAGTCGGAGAAGAACTCCATACCTGACTTGCAGGTGGTGGAATTCGACCAGATAATGGGCCAACTGGCTGAGGTAAAAAATCCCACAACCCCAATACTTTTCCTTTATTTGAACTAAGCATATCATAATCCGGCTGCTCTTCTCTCAGGTAATGCTGAGAGTGGATGGCCTCCGAGGCCCCTTCAGGCGGAAACAAGAAGAGGTAAATGACGCCAAACGGAGGGCCCTTGTGATCAGTGGCCATTTGGCCCACTTTTCTACTTCGTTTCTTCCCCGATTGAGCCCTTTGTTTGCCCTTTTTCCTCTATTTTAGCTTAGTTTTGTTATTATTGAGCATATTTGTTACTTGGAGTGGTTTTGAGTCATTTTTGGCTCATTTCCTAAGGTTTTATTCCCTCTCCTTTAACCCATTTCAATTTGCTCCTATTAGAACCTTTCCTATGATTTGTGTTTTCCATCTTACAGGTCCTCCCGTGGCTAAGAAAGCAAGGATTGGATGCAAGGATTAGGCATGCTTTGGAGTCAAAGGGATTGGAGCATTAGAGCCCAAAATATGAAGGAAAGAAGAGTTCAGAGCGGGCGCTCTAGATATGGAGCGGGCGCTCTGTATTCCTTGCTGCAGAAAAACCAAGTACCCAACCCTCAGAGCGGGCGCTCTAATGTTGAAGCGGGCGCTCTAGCTCCCAGAATAATCAGAGCATTTTCTGCGAGACCTCAGAGCGGGCGCTCTCATGTTGAAGCGGGCGCTCTAGCTCCCAGAATAATCAGAGCATTTTCTGCGAGACTTCAGAGCGGGCGCTCTGGCCTTAGAGCGGGCGCTCCGTGTTCCCCTGACCGATTTGAACTCTGCTACACGCGTAGGCCGACGGCTCTAATTATTTTACTCTGCACGTGATGCCTAAAATTTTGGGCCTTGATTTGGGTTAGGTTTTAGAGGAGGGTATAAATACCTCTCTTCCTTGTAATTGGAGAGAGGTATGTAGAGAGAAATATTAGAAAATCAGATTTCAGCTTATTGTCTTTCTT